TTGCACATGACGACCAAAGTGGCGACAACATCCGTGACCAAAGCTTGGGCGTTGCATGATGGACATGAGCGACGGACAGCGCGTGATTACAGCGAAGACATTTGGTTGCTCTCCTCCCTGCGTAAGGAAACCCATGCGTCCCGCATGGTGAACCATTAGGATGCGGCACAGATACTTTCTCCTTTCTTCTGTCGCGGTGAGAGGACTGCCCCTCGCGTGCGTTTGCCTTGATAGCCCTCAGTTTGCGGATTTCCCTGGCCGTCGGTGCCGTCCGTCCGATCGCCCCTTGCCATTCTATCTTAAAGCGCTGACACGCTGCCTGAAGTAAGAACGGCGCTCGGGTAGCGAGAGTGAGTTCCGACAGCTTCCTCCTTTGCTGCAGCATCTGCCCTCTTGTTCCCAGTAATGCCGGCGTGTCCGAGCACGCCACCGAAGACAACACACTTCCTTCGATCTGTTCGAGGGATGGAATAAGTCGTATAATCTGGTCACCTAAGAAGCACTCTGTTTTCGAGTAATTGGGGTAGTAATACATACTGCTCCAGAAGTCAGGCAGAATAGGATACCGCTCCGCTCGTTCCTCCTCCGCAGAGCCTAATGCCCCCTGACTGCAAAAAGTTCAGCGGTAAAAACCGAACAAAAGGGTGCAATGTAAGGCATTTTGTCGAGCTGTCACGCGTCACAGCATAGCCAGTGCCTGCATCAGACTTTGAGACATCCGCGTACGTGCAAAAGTACGCATCGCACTTGGTGCGCATACCCTCAGAGTAGAAGAAACTCAGAGCGAAACACCTCAGCACTCGTCGATCCTCTGCCCGGGGCATGGAGCGAAAAATGCAGATCGGCATTTTGAGGCCTCAGGACGGGCATGGTGGGCCTGTCGCACGAGTGACGTTCTTCCTTCTAATGCTACACCCTTGCAGACCCCTCTTGACCCTCATACACATAGGCTGTGACGAGCTAACATTACTCATTTCGAACAGATGGATTGGATGTCGGGAAAAGATGCAGCGAAAGGTAGGATGTGCCCCGAAAAGGTGCAATTTTTAAGGCATACTGTGCGCTGAGTATTTCGCGTCGGAATGACAGTGACGGTTTTCGCTATAACCAAGAGGCTGAAGATGGGACTGGATCTAACTGTCCCAGTGGCAGTGCGTATTGCACCATGGTGGACTGCATCAAGCATGCGTTTGACTGAAACAACGGCCGATTCGAAGGCCTGGCTGCCAAATTTTAGCTTTAATCGGAACGGCGTCCCGCAGAGAAGTGGTGCACACAGTGCTAGTTCTGGTTCAAATGTGGTCGAAACCTCAATTCCTGGCATTTTGGAAACCGTCCGCCTCTGTTATTTTCCATCGCCGTTTTGATCAGATCATGTAAAATCCCCTCCTCCGAAACTCATATGAGCCCCTTAGTATTTGCTTCGCATGTGTAGGAGGCCGAAACTTGTTCACCGCATACCACGCCTCCGTTCTGCCATAAATTGACAAGATGTTTATCGCACATTCTTGGGCAGTACATATAAAAACCAAAATATCTTGATCTCGAAAGAATCGCTAGATTGCACCCTATCGATTAATTAGATTGAATGTTTTCCAGGTGGTATCTTAAGTGGAAATTATACGTTGTTTTTATAATTATACGTTTTAAATTATACGTTGGAACACCTGCATGATACCAGAACTTTTATCGACATTTAATAGGTATGGAGAATACGAGAAAATGGCTGTCACTGCCCACTTTAAACTGTGTTCTCAGCACTTTGTGGGTCAGTAACAATTTCCAACAATCATTATGGCGGCAGAAGAGGCCCAAAAAGTCATAAAGGTTTTAGTAGGCCTGCGTCCCGTCGGTCGGCCGGTCCGTCCACCGAGCTGCGCTGCGACTGGCCGGCCGCAATACAGCGCTCGCCTGGGCTGACCGAAGAAATAGGCTGAGAGTTGACGTCTCCTGGGAGGGTTAAGTGCTTGGTCAAGTTATACGCTCATTGTCGCTCATTGTTTTCGGCTCAGTGAGTGAGGCTGACGGTCGTTTCTCCGACTGTCGAGTGCGCAACATGTGAGGTACTAGTGAGGTGGTCTTCTTTGACACAGTAGTGCAAGGAGGCCTTCTGTTAAAGAGAGAGAAAAACGGCAAGCCGCGTTAAGCTGGCGGACGAATGTGAGGAAGAGTTGCATCACGCCTTATCTAATTTTGTTCGAGCCTCGCAAGACAAAGGGAACAATTATGGGCGTTGCTAGAGCAGGATGCTGGCTGAAAGGGTGCCGTTTAGTACGGGTGACATTGTGGCACTGAAACACGGGAATCAGGACACCCCCGGCGCAGCTGGTGACGGACGGGCGCCCGACAGCGCCCTATACCGAGCTGAGCGAAAGAACCAAGCGACGGACCTCAGAACATCTATCACAGGACCACATTCCTCGAAAGCTCGTGAATGTGGCTAAATGGAGGGCACGTGTTGGAGGAACAGCGGATCCGTCCCACGTCCGGCAAGAAACTATGGCATCGCCCGGCAGGCCAAAAACGATACGGAGATACCAAAAAAGATAATCAGCCCACCGTCCACCAGTCGCATGCGCGCCACCTGACAAAGCCTCGGCTAGGTGTGTGGTCAGTGACTTGACTGTGCATGGGTTCAAAGTGGTGCGGAACACAGCTCATGACGTATCAAGACAACATATTTCCCCGCGTACAGCAAAGCGCAGTCAGCGAAACACGACGTTTGCCCACCGGCCGCCACAATGACTGTCAGTGACATCAGTGCTTAAGTGACCGCAAGCACTCTTCGGCCGTACTTTTCGCCGTCTGGTGGAAGCGCAGACATCCTGGCAACGTTAAACCGACTGATAGACCAGCCTGGACCCAGCACACAGACCAAACGTGGTGTTCCCAAAGTCAAGTGCGCATTCGATGGTGCCACATCCCAATCAGTGTACAAGCAGGCAGTCAGTGAAAATGATGTAGGAATGGCGAAAGAAAGCCTGTTTTGTATGATGATACCTTTGAGACTCCGTCCATAACTTCATGCTCAGGTGCAAGTGATCCGCCATTAACTAGGCCTTGCAGACCTCTGTGCGTCAAATACATCCGCGATACTGCAGATATATCGCGAGAAGAGAGTACACGGATCGAAGCTGCGATCAGCCGACTGAAGCTGACGACCTCGACCCCTCCGGGTGGCATTCGTGTGGAACATCAACACAAGCTTTGTCTCCCGATGGTGGACGGAAGTCATCACTGCTCTAACGGCCACCAAAAGCAGTGCGTGCTGCAGTGTTCGGAGCAAGACCGAAGCAGATGAATGACCTGACCGCCTTATCAGCTCGCCCCTCACGCAAGGAGACACACAAATTTGGTCTCCCGACGACGTGCGCTTGGATTCGTATTGTCAGTGAGCTAGAATCGCTTTCGAACTAGGGTGGGAGTGAACAATTTAATCGCAAAAAGACCGTACGGAAGTGAAAAATTCAGTGAGCTAGAACTGAGCAAGAACCACTTTTGAATTACGGTGGGAGTGAAAAATTTAACCGCAAAAAGACCGCATGGGAGTGAAAAACTCAATTCACAGAAGCTGGAACTCATGAGTCCGTGAGAGATGCTCCAGCAAACAAAGACATACATTTCAAGCTGGCGTGGACGTAACAATGTAAAAACTGAACTAGAATCGCTTTTGAGCTAGGGTGGGTGTGAAAAATTCCATCGCAAAAAATCGTGCGGGGGTGAAAAATGGCAGCCACGCGCCGCCAAACGCATCACGACGGCATGACTTCAAATGCATCCCTTATTTTTGCAACGATCCATGGTGTGCAGCATCTGGCACCGAGGTTCGCGCAGTTCCTCCCGGCCCCATCTCGCTCTCACATGTCCGGCCACGCCACACACATTAGTCAGCAAGGACCAACGCGGGACTGGCGGAGCGCCATGGAGGAGGGGCGCCCCAAGGCGACCGGCTGCTGCTCCATCACTATGGCTCCACGGCGGACTTGGATCAGCGAGGTGAGCAGATCTCAGGCCAGCTCTTCAACCTGGTCACGCCGGCGATGGCTGCGTGCGAGTGGAAAACTGGCACATTTCCGCTTTGCTTGTATGCACACAACTCGTGATCAGTATCTGCCTCCGATCCTCCTCCACGTCGCTTCACCTGTCACGCTAAATATTGGTTATGCAAACGGGCGGGATCCACTAATTAATTGTTTTAGACCCCAGCTAGATGCCCGAGGCCTGTTCATCCCATGCTTGCAGCCGTTGGACCGATACCAAAAGCACAGCAGCTTCAAATACCACAGACGTCAAAACGACCACATTCGACACTGTTTCAGGTTGTTCGCTTTACACTGCGTCAGGTCAAGTTTGCTTCACAACGAAGTACTATGCTCCTTACACAAGGCAATACATACACATGGACACACGCTGAATTCGTGACACTTTCCACAGCGCGGCGTTGTACATCCCATCACAGGCCACCAACTCTGAGCAGGGGTGGCCGCCCCTCCGCCAGGCCACCTGCTGTCCACGCCCATCACCGCCACTGGGGCCAGGCCGCGGCCCCTCGCGTACGTCACCGGTCACCGGATCCGGCCTACTTTCAGCGTGCTCTCCTTAGCGCGAGACAGTGCGGTCAGACGCTGCGCGACCGCCGGATAGAGGTCATCCGACCTCGGGTCACACCTGACGGGGTCGGTGACCTCTGTGTTCTGACGCAGAACGGTGCCTTCGAACTTGCAGCGACCTCTATGCCGAGGCTGGCCGGGGTCAGCGGAGCATGCAGCTTAGATGGCATGGTGACCTCCAGGTGACCTGGGTGTCACACAGAAAGACGACGACGATCGCCACCAAGAGCGCAAAAATCACCACCCAGTACCCTGGAACAGGCACGGCCCACCAATCAACCCATCAGATGTCATCGGCGTCGTACGGCAGTCCAAAGTTACACTTGCACAAAACATCAAACCTTTCCTACCAATCACAGCATACAAAAACTTGGTCAATGACAGTGAAATTGTTCTGGCATTCATTTCCATCACTCGAGGCATCCAGCGCAAGACACATTGTGGAGAAGCACAGACGGCACCGACAGCGCCGCTTTCTCGACGTCCGTTAGCGCAGAAAACGCGTCCAGGAGTCCGTTGCGCGCAATGCGCAAGAGTCCGTTTGGTGCCGTTTCGCAGCGACTGTCGCCGCGCCCCACCACGTGCTCCCTTCACATGGACGACAGCGCCGATCGCGCTCGCATTCAGGGTTCAAGCTCACAGCTGACTGCGTAACCAGGAAACAGCCTAGCAGGTCGGCGGGTCCCACGGCGGGGGCGCTGCAGCCGGCGGCTCATGGAGGCCACCGCTTCACTTCCGGAGCGGCTCAGCTCACACAACGGGTGGTCCATGTCGCTGAGCACAGGCGCTGACGGCACGCCAGCAGACCCAGCAGCGGATTCCACGGACCCCCTCCCCCCACCCCACACGCACCAGGGTCCACGTAGCTGAGGACGGGCAGTGACGGGCGCGTCAGCAGACCCGGCGGCGGGTCCCACAGACCCCCCCCCCCCAATAACGAAGCACGTGACACCGATGGACCCCCCACTCCTCAGACGCAATGCACAGTGAGCAGTTTGGATCGCAACACACCACGACATTCCGCGCAGACATCTGCACACAGCCTGCACACGACATGGCACCGAATACTGCGTCATCAAGAGAGCCACGCACGTCTGAGGACGGGGGCGCCACTACGTGTCACACTGCAGAGCCAGTGGGACTTACAGCAGGTGCGGGAGGCCTTGCGGTCGACCATGCGGACCTGCTGCGTCTGCTGCACCATGCGGCCGGCGCTCCGGTCCGCCATGTCCGAGATGTTATCGATCAGCGCTGCGGACAGCGGCACGCTCGTCCACAACACGCATCCGCCCGGCCTCGCCGGCTCACGACGAATGTGAGGATAACTATTCCGAATGATAGCATAAATATACAAGACAACACCGTCAAGCTCACGTAAGTCGGGATGCGAAGAAGTAATCCTCAGCCGGGTACGAATCGGCCACACGCACGCAACAATCATTCCATCGGCGTTAATGCTTCATTTCATCCCATCTGTGAAATTACGAGGATCCTTGCATGTGCGCTGAACCCCCCCATAGGCCATAGACCATGTCAGCCTAGAGTGCGACAAATCGACAACACAGTCCATCAGCCTCACGCTTCGAAAGACCAACCAGCAGGGACACTGGCGGGAGTCGGGCGGTGAGGGAACGGGTCGGGCCCGGCCGTCCTCTGCTGGCGACACCACATACCGCTTTGCTCCTCGATCTCGGCACCGATAGCGCCGGCCATGTCCCGCTGGCGCGAGATGACCGACGCCAGCACCTCCAGACCCTCGTCCTGCTCTGTGGAAGCCACTGACGCAATTAGATTCGCGAAGTGCTCACAGCCTCCCCACAGTCCCCAACATTGCCAAGCTGAAGAGCACCTCTCTGGTCTTCCATTCCATCTCCTGGTTCTCCATCAACTATGCCCAGGGATGGAACTTTGTATCTTTCAGGAGAGGTGGGGGGAGGGGATATGCCAAATCAAAATTTATCTCCACTCCCTAAACTCCCCCCCCCCCCCCCTTATGACAGGCCAGTCTGCCCCAAGTCTACCAAAGTCAGACAGCTAAACTTAAACAAACTTACATTGAACACCATATTATTCTTGCACACCACACATGGCCATGCATTTCCAGAAAGGTGGTTACATCCTCTTGTCTTGTTTTGTTTTGGAAGCTTCAACCCATCCTGGCAACCTACCCCTGACGAGCTGGCGCTGCTGCTGCCGGAGGTCACCGGTGGGTGGCACCACAGACGGTGGCACATCGTCACCACCCCAGCCTGTGGTGCCCAGGTCAGCCAGGCCACCTGGTGCCCCTGGCCGCGCCATCACCGCAGGGCAACTGCTCAATGTCCCGATGTGCTGGGTACCTAGAATGAAAATGGCATGGGATGTCATGGCTGACCAGATTACACAGCATGGGGGGCTAAGGCAAAAGTGATGAGAGTTGCATGATGTGAACCACCCAAAGAAATGACTTGAATGGGTTGACACAAACTGGAGCATAAATTTGAATGGCTGTGAGGAGGCAGTTAGTAAGCATGGAATGAAGTTGGTGTGGGCACCAGTTTGGTATAAGTTCAAATATTTCATTTTATTAGGCTTTTAAAATGGAGTTAACATAAAGCACCTGTTGTGCCTCGGGGATTTAGCATGGTTTGAAAATCACTATGAATAGCCTGTTCAGTATCTTTGGAACCTTTGATTAGTACCTATCATTGAGCAACATTGCCAAACCTTCCACCATTCTTTGTGTTTAAGAGAATGCAAGGCAAGGCAGCCTTCTACCCTTATTTGGCCTGTCATTCTGATCTGGGGAGTTGATAATCACACAATATAATACTTGATGAGGATGGTGAAGTCATTGGTGTCATTAATGACTAAGTCATCAGATGATTATACTGTGCATATATGATGCTACATTTTCATATTGTGTCCTTGCTGCTGCTCTTAATTTTTTAAAAAACAAGCTTTACAGGAGCAAAAAAGAGCAGCTTAAATGGTAACTGGTCTTGGAAATTTGCCTTTCATTTCATATGATTTTGCCACAATCCTGACGGCCAAGAAAAGCCTCAATGGACTTTGTTCAAGGTGAATGGAAGAAATATATGTGCAACCTAAGACTTCAAGTATTATATTTTTACTTAATCTACACAAACTATTCAGTGATAGAAATAAAAACCTACAGGTGAAATTGATACAGGTATTTACTTATGATGCTTTTCAGTCAACATCCACATTGGTATCTGATGCTGCAATATTTAATAGTTCAACTGCCATTTTAAGACATGAAACACCATAATCATAGAACAGATACACTTTTGGATGATATCACCTCACCTCCAAAATACCGTTCACACACGATGGCCGAACCTGGTCATACGGGCACTCTCCAATAAGTCATCGCCTACTTTCAAGGATCAAAAGCAACAGGTTCTCGTCCCTATCATGTTATTCTGCAGAAAACTGGACGATAAGCTAGCTAAATGATATTGCTTCGAACAATCGTCGTTTTTCTACCCTACATCCACCCAAATACCGTCATCACCCCACATAGCACCATCTGTCCCGAACCTGCGTTCCCTCACCCCCAGTGTTGATACAAGTGCCGCGATGGATGCGTGTTGGAAGCGTTATGGAAGCGTGTTTTTTTCCTTATTTACATGATGTTGATGACGTAACGGGGATGTTAAGGAATTGCTGCGTTTTCAAAAAGGCATCATATAAAAATATTATCTTATGATAAAAGTGCCAAAAAAACCGATGTGATGTTGACGACTTCACTTGGTTTCAAAACAACTGCTGCGTTTTCAAAAATGAACTGCTGACGGAGATATAGATTCATGGAGCCATGTCAACGAATGATCATTCACGTGCTGCTCAGACTATTCCTGATGTCCGTGAAAGCTTTGGTTGGCGTCACAGATTTGCAAAATGCATGCCAAACGCCAAACACGCGTATAGTGAGGTGAGATGCGCTCTCATAAGCATAATTGTACGCTGAAGGAAAAGTCTGAATCGGACGGGGGCCGATCTAGCAATATCAGACGGGATCGAACTGCGGCTGGAAAAAAGGGGAGGCTGGCACAAGAGCAGCTGTGCTAACACGCCAATTTGTGCCAAAATGACAAAATGCCAAATGAGTGAAATATCTCGGTATGGAACCTTCAACGTGGGATTTAGGGGTTAAATTCCTGTCTGGCGCTATGGACTATGAACGTCCAGGTGCGTACTCTCTCTGAAGTGGGACTGGGCTGGCTGGTTCGCTTCAGTTTGGTTCGGCTCGAATGGGACCGGAAAGGAAGAAAACAAAGAATTTAAGGCCGGAACGGCTCTGAGCAGACTAAACCGGACCTGATCTGAACGGGCTGCACCAGTTTGGAGTGAACTGGAAGGGAACGCAGGATGCTGGACATGATGAAAAAGATAAAGGATGGACTAGAGCGGAACAGATGATATATATGACCGGGATGCGTTGAAATGGGCGTAAGCAAACTGGGCCGGACCACACCAGGATTGACTCCGGCAGACTGGACCTAACTGGACTGCGCTGGGATCTTACTAAAATTGAAACATCTGACAAAAGACCAGACCGAACCGGAATGAGAAATGGGCTGGGAGCAGGGAACAAACGTACCCGACTGGGATAGACTGCATTGGACTGAATTGGGCCGCGCTACAACCTAACGGGCGTTAGATGAATATAAAGGACTGCAAGATCCGGCATAGGATTAAAACGAGCCAGCAAAAACTAGAACGATATCGAGATGACAGGAGAGGACTGCACAGGCATACCTAGCTTCTGTTTTCTATTTAGTTCTGTCTAGTCGGAACCCCTTGGGAAGGGATCGTAAGGGTGCGGCAGTTACTGGATCGGCTCGGAGTGGACCAGGCTGCGATTGAGGGGACTGGACTCAGGCAGGTCTGACTGGACAGAGAAGAATCAGAAATTAAGTTATTTACCTCCAGTTGACGATTCAGGTGTATCACGGAGCGGGTCGTAACGGGAGAGACATGATGACCGATAGACGGATCATATAATACCAGACCATCAGAATGGCAAACCATGCAAACGAATCTAGGGACGAGGAGGCAAGAGGGAGCCGGCACTGAACTGAACTGAACTGAATGGGATAGAGTCTAGCAACGGAAATGAACGGATAGAGTTAGATCAATTTGGTCGGACTAGACGGATTGTACAGGAAAGGGGACATTGATATCAAATGGGTTGGACCGCATTTGACTAACCTGGACTGGAGAAGATAGCAAAGAACCGAAAAAAATCCGTTACGCATCAGCCGTGGATATTTGCTTGGCGGCGAGGGTGACACCGCGCTGTGGTCAAAGAATTAAAATCATGATTTGCACAAACGATAGCACTTTGCGCAATACAGAAAAATTTGCGCAATCAAGACAGGTTGGACATATTTTGCGTGGAAAGCGTCAGTTCAGTGCTTCCCCTCGCGTTTGTATCGTGCAACACGGTCCAAGATAATAAGTCCCATCACTATCACAAACAGGTCTTTTTTAAGATCAAGGGCACCGCACGTTGTGGAAGTGCCGTTTTAATCCCGGACAGATCCCATCGCACTACGTCTTTTGGGGTCGGATATCGTATAACGGCGGAGAACGGCTGAATATCGTGCAGCTATGTTTGCCACGCACGCAATCATTGTGTGATTCCGCGATGGAAAGCTTCGGGTATGCAGGGCGGGACATGTTACGGGCGTGGAACGTCCCTAATTTTCGATGCTCCGGCGTACCTAAGTTGCGTTCGCATTTCTCCGGTACTTGTGTACATTAACACACGCTCATGAGAGGGGCACTTTGATCATCGAAGGTTTTTTCCAGAAACATTTCCGGACGATTGGGTGAAGTCGCGCTAAACTTTGGAGAGCTGTAGGCAATTGAATAGCGCATCTTTTGCTACAAAATTTTTGTACCTCGTAAGGTTGCTCACCTATGGCAGGTGTGAAGGACGGACCGGGGTCATCTTGTTTTTTGATGATAAGCCTACTGTATGAGGCAGCTTCTGGTACTCATTTCGAGTTCATAACTAACGAGTTCCGTAACAGACATGTTCCATGAGCTTCTTAAAGGTTAAATTAGTTCACTGACCTAAAATGACTCAGATCGACATTTTGTATTTAGCAGCATACCGCCCAGCGCAATCCCTGACGTTTATTTAAGTGGTAACGTAAAACCAATCTACTTGTTTTTGGACATCTTGATCTGTTAATGGACAAAACAGGTCACTGACCTTAAACAAAACCAATGGTCTTTTGCTTAAAACAAGCATCTAAGTAAACGGCAGCTGCATGAGGTCTGGGAACACTTGGATCCCAACCTGAAGCGTGACATTGTTTGACCTTATTTGACCCCAAGGTCATGACCTGTGAACTTCAAAATTTTAACACAAGTGAGTCACATAGAGGCCAACCCACACTGTAAATGCATTGTCTCTAGCTCTTTGATATTCTAGTCCCTTACATTTACAGGTCTCTTAAACGCGGTATTTGCTCCCCATTTCACCAGCACAGTGCAACAACCTTTGGAGCCAAATAGTTCAGTAAATATATTTGTCCTGTATTAGAGACACAAATATAACCTGGCACTAAAGATTTATTCCGATGTTTCAAAATTTTACTTCGAAATTTTAGGCTACCTTAATTTCAGAGAACTGATTTAACTGAGCATTGGGACCAGGCCCCATATTGTGAAGGTTCGATATTGTTCGATTCAGTGATGATGATACAATTCGATATTGCGGGGTACGGCCCAACGTTGCGGGGGCCCACTCCAACACTGGAAGCCCGGCTCAATACTTTTTGGTGGGCAGGGCCCCATAAAGAGATTCAAAGTTCCAGCCCTGATTGAAAGTCCTTTCGAGACACACAAACACAAACAGAAAGACGTCTGGCGGTCAGGAGGCGAGTCGACCATCACCCGGAACATTGCGAGTTAGAGAGAGGACATGACATCAAGGAAAAGCTTACCACCAGACGGTCTGACTGGGCATTGAAGCCCGTCCACTCGGCCGGCGTTTCTGTGTTGTGGACTTCCGACAGTCATGTCGCCTTATACTGTTAACTGAACCTAGTGGCAGTGGACTGAATCTGTGACTCTTCAGCGCAAGTCTTTGTTGGGAGCTTTATGGGGCCCTCAGGCGGATCGGAGCGTGGGGCCCACACAGGTGAGCTGGCAGTTGAGCTTGCCGGCCGTCATCCTAGCTTTCCCGGGGCTCACCGCACTCGCTCCGCACACGGGTGGTGGCAGCGCCCCCTGGGACAGCTGGAGCAGCGCCTCTTGGAACAGCCGAAGCAGCACCACCTGGGACGAGGATCGGCAGTGCCGCAGGCAGGCAGGCAGGCCTTCTGTTATCAGGTGGTTTTGGCAACAACTAGCCCTGTTAGGTGCCTCCCGATCTGTGACTCTTCAGCGGAAGTCTTTGTCGGGAGCTGAGGCGCGTTCAGATTTGAAGGCCTCTTGCAGCGCAGCAGATGCATAGCCTGGTGGGTGAGTCGCAAAGGAGATACCTCATTATCGCCGTTCTGCTGCAATGCAATCTAAAAAACAAGACGTACTAAAAGCTAAGAGCCTACCTGGAGACAGCCAAAGAACATCCGACCCGAAGCATGATGAGCGTGAAAGCCTCTTCAAGCCTGCACTGCTGGTGCTTACGCTCCTGCGCGAAGGGCAGAACAACTTCCTCCTTCAGTAGCGCTGTCTGAAGAAAATGCCGCCGCATTTCTTCATGGCAGGTCACAACAATTATGCACGTTAATGAGCTAACATGTGAGACAGATGAAGCACCTTCCCCAGCGTGCCGGGGAGGAGCCATACGCGGGCGCGCACGCCTGGTGTGCAGGGGGAGCTAGGTGTACGTAGTGGTGATGACTATGAAGAGCATCAGAGGAATGTGACGGGTGCTGGTTGGTAGCACTGCCCTCAAGTTCGCTTTAGATGTCGTGACACTGCACGCCAAAGTTGTGGTGTGATATGATATGATTAGTTTGACATTTGACCTCTAATTTGGTGTTTAAGTTATATTTATTGTAGACCTCGTAGCCCAAAAATAAGTCCAGAAATGGACGCGTCGCCCACGATAACCCCCATTAAGAGAGATAACACGACCATCGATGTCATATAGATCAGAATAAAGCATTGGTTAAAATTCGACATGGCGGTGGTCGTCATCTTGAGTTCTGAGAAATACTCTATGTTACACAAATGGCAGCTAAGCTAGCCTGGGTTTCCTTATCATATCGAGCATATTTACGAGGAAGTTCCTGCAGTCAACATTGTACGGTCAACATTTTGGCATCTTAACTACATATCAAGACACCTCGATGAGGAGGATGCTCTGGTCGACCTCGCTGAAGGCCATTCCAAGGTTGATCATCGGCACTGACGATGTAAGACTATCATTACTGGTGACCAGATACGACGGCGGCGAACATGGCACCCTCAGTTGAGCGGCGAGGCCTATAGGCATACTGTGATGGATGCAGAAGCCTGTTGCATTCAAATAGTCCGTTAGCTCTGTGTTTGTTCCCTTTCCTATGACCTCAGACA